TGACAAACTAAATATACCCTCCATACTATGGTGGAGGGTATAACAATTAATTGACTTACTGACTGACAGACTTAACGTTTCCTCAACGCCCAGACAAAACTGCTAAAGCTAGAATCTCGAAATTTTCGGCGAGGTTCACTCTTGGTCCGAAGCGGTCAGATAAGGCTGGGCTTTGGAAAATTCCTACTGGAAATAGATGTGGTAATGTTGTATTTGAGGAAGCAGTAAGCCTAGAACTCTTAAATTTGGAATGATGATGGAGTGTATGATAAATGTGCCAAAAGGCCTGTGAAAATTGGCACTATAAATGTAAGAAAAGTACTTAGGTGTACTAGATTTGGTACCATTTCGTATCATTTGAACGATTAGATCTAAAAACTTCAAAATTGGAATGGGAATCCAGGTGGAGAAGTAGAGTCGATGTAAGGAGGTAGTTTTGGAAGTCTGTACTCATGTATACGAAAAGTACTAAACAGTACTAAATTTGGCACAGTTTAAATTTGTATTATGTCTTTGTGCATTTTTTGATGGAGATGGAATCCTGAAATTTGAAATGAACATTACCGGCAGAGTGTGAGATTCGGATATGGAGGAAGTTTTCGAAATTTGTGTGTTATGTGCACGAAAAGTACTAAACTGTACTAAATTTGGTACAATTTCGATTTGGGTGAATCGATAGAGCCGGAATTCTGAAATTTAGAAATAAGGTTACTATTGCATTCTAGGACTGAGGAATGTAGGAAGTTATGGAAATTCGTACCTATGTGTACTTAATGGTACTAAATTTGGTACAATTCCGATTTGGGTGAATCGATAGAGCATGAAATCGGAAATTTAGAAATACGATTACTATTGCATTCTAGGACTGAGGAATGTAGGAAGTTATGGAAATTCGTACTTATGTGTACTAAATGGTATTAAATTTGGTACAATTTGGATTTGACTAAACCGATAGAGCTGGTATCCTGAAAATTGGAATTAACATTGCTGGCGAAGTGTAGAATTGGGATATGTAGGTAGTTTTCGTAATTTGTACTTATATGTACTAAAATGTACCAAATAAAAATTTGTACTTAGGCGAACCAACAGGGGTGCGATTTTAATATTTGGAGTTAGGATTACTGTGGGAGTTTAGGATAGGGGTATGTAGCAAGCTTTGGGAATTCGTACGTATGTGTACTAAATAGTACAAAAAATTGATACAAATTGGAATTGTGATGAACCGATGGAGCTGGAATTGTGAAACTGGGAATGAGATTCATTGATGGGGAGTGCAGGATAGATACACCAAAGGAGTTACTGGAAATTCGAAATGTTCTAAAATTTTACTAAACTTCTAAAATGGTACCCTTTGGCATTATGTGGACGGATAAAGTGAAAAAACTTGAAATTTTGTATCAGAATTAAGGTTGAAAACTAAGTAAGTAAGATAGCTTTGGAAATGTGTACTAAGTGAGGGAACTGTACTAAATAGTGAATGAAGTTGAAATTTTGAAATTCAGTATTGGGGTCCCTGTTGGTAGGTAGGTTCCAAAAGGTGGTTTTAGAAATGTGTACTCCAAGTGTAAGAAAAGTACTAAATAGTACAATATTTGCGGCAATTTGGTGTTGGGGGAACAGGTTGTGGTTGAAATCTGAAATTTGCTTTTAATATATCTGAGCCTGGAGGTGATTTCGGTAATGTATGCTATTATTTTGCAAAAAGTAGGGAAAGGACCAGAATCTTCAAATTTGATATTGAGGTCTCTGTTGGTATGTGGAATTGAGATATGTTGTTGGTTTTTGAAATATGTACTACAACTGCACAAAATGGTACTAAATTTGGTATTGCGTGAAGAGATAGAGATCCGATTCAGAAATTTGTTATTTAATTGGCTGATAGTATTTGTCTTTGAGATTTGTCGAAAAATGCTAAATGGTAATAAATTTATTATTCGGTGAAGGGATAAGGCTGGAAAATCAAAATTTGATATTGAAGTCTGTGTTTGGTATCTTGTATTGAGATGTTACGCAAAGTACTAAATAGTACTGAATTTGATATTGAGTGAAGGAATAAAAAAAAAGTGAAAAATAAAATTGAAATGGATTTCTATGTTGGCGTCCTATATTGGCACGAAAAGTACTAAATGTTACTAAATTTTGTATTGCGTGAAAGGATTCGGTATTGATATTGAAGGTCTCTGTTGGTGTCTAAAAGTGACCTTGGCATCTGGTGTTAATATACGGAGTTGATTTTCGAAATATTTACTATATTGGTACTAAGTGGTACTAATTTTGGCAACGGGCGAAATTATAGAGCTGAAATCCTGAAATTTAATATTGAGGTTACTGTTGGTATCTGAGGTTGAGATATGGAGATTATTTTGAAATTATATACTAAAATTATTCGAAAAGTTCTAAATTTGGTATTGGGCGAAGCAACGAGCTGGTATCCACAAATTTGATATTAAGGTCTCTCTTAGAATCTGTTCCTTTCAGACGTTGAATCGAAAAAATCCAAGGAAAAATCAAAAATTAGCAAATAATTTTTTTTATTTTTTTTTTTTTTTATTTATTATTTTTTTTTTTTTTTTTTTGGAAAATTTTGATCATTTTGTTTCAATATACCGTCGAAATAGAGATTTCTTTTCTTTGCTGACTTATAACAAAAGTTGATGAAGGATATTTTTTTCTTTGATGCTAAAATGGTGCTTTGCTGGATATCTCTGCACAAACTTATACAAAATACGACTACAACCCTGAAATGTGGTTTGAAAACATAATTTTTATTAAAACCATTGTAAATAGATATATGAGTTATTCTGAGATTTACAGTGAAATTTTGTGCAGAATATTTCTCCTTTTGACAACTTTCGCTTACAACGGAATTTTATGTTACTTTCCGGCCTCAACTCGAAGAAAAGGAAAACTTGATCAAACATTTAGAAAATATTTCCGTTTTTTTTTTGGAAATTGATCTAAATATTCTTTAAAACACAATAGAAATTGAGATTTCTTTTCCTCGGTGACTTACAGTCAAATCTGAGGGAGAATATTTCTATCTTTAACGTAATCCTGGTTAGATAAAAAATACACCTTAATTTTTACATTTTTTTTTAAAATTTTATTGAATGAAAGCAAAAAATGTCAGAAATAGCATCAAATTTTAGAATAAGTTTAGATTTCTTCGAATTTGTCACCTTTGGCACGAATTATGGCCTTCAAACGGCGAATGAAACCGTCACTCGCTGCCCTAATGTTGCTCTGCGGTAGTTTGGCCCATACCCGGCGAAGCGCTTGCTTTAGGTGATCGACACTTTGGTGCCAACCTTGCTTTCCAAAATACTTCAGATACCAGATAGTCCAACGGATTGGTATCCGGAGATTTTGGTGGCCATTGTGCGCTGGAAATGAAGCGAGGAACCTCATTTTGTAACCATTCTTGGGTGGCGCGTACTGAGTGCGATGGTGCTGAGTCCTGTTGGGATGTCTAAGGTCTGCGGCCAAAATGTTTGCGTGTCCAAGGCTTTAATACACCCTCCAGAATATTTTCGCGATAATATTCGGCATTTATTCTGATGCCACGGTCAATTAATACGAGCAGAAAGCGACCATCGGCTGTTATGGTGGACCACACCTCCACCATGGCCGTCGCTTGAGTTCTGGTGGCCAACCGAAGGTGCATATTTTCAGCTGACCTCTTTGGCAAGTAAACACGATCATTTTGTTTGTTTACAGAGTGGAGAAAACCAAATTCAGCAGTGGTGAACACTTTCGGCCAAACGAAGCAACTCTTTAGCTCTTTTGAGTCTATTTTCTTTCCGTTGCGGTAAAAGTTTTTGCACTTTTTGGAATTTCAATTGCCTTACCCCGAGCTCATTTTTCAATATTTGCGAAGTGAAAATTGCGATATGTTCAGCTCACGAGCCATTTTGCGGCCACTGCGTGGCGAATTTCGATCAAGTCGCTTCTTTACTTTTTGAACCATTTCTGCTGATGTTGCTGTTTTCTTTCGTCCATTTCCTTGACGTCGGGTTACGCTACCAGTATCACGGTAATGAGCGATGATACGAGACACAAAAGATTTATTCACATTTAAAAGCGGGAGGGCTCTAACGATAGCCACTTGTGGTTTTCCAGCCAAATATAAAGAAATCACGCTATCACGCATGAATGCCATCACGAATAACGTTTTCTCTGGAAAAATTCTCAACAAAATGCTTTTGTACGCTTGTAAACAATATAATGAGCTGTCACTGGACAAATTTTAACAGCTGTACGACGAGTGGCATAGAAATGACAGCAATCTGAAGTTGGTTGCAAATTTTTCATCTTACCCTGTACATACCTAAAATGCACCCATGCCGAGGAATCTTAATCCGAAAATTGAAAAAAAAATAAAAATAAAAAATGTGGGGGAGGGGGGAACTTACCCATCCATTCCGATTACTTTGTGATGTAAACTTTCAAAATGCCGATACATTTTCTTAAAAATATTATTTATTATCATATTTAATTATATATACAGTATTTCAAAGGAGTGTTCAATATAAATGCAAAAAATAAAAATATTTTTTCTTTTGATCATCTTAACATAAGATGATCAACTACAATCTTCACATTTATGGGTACCTTCTGGGCCCTGTCATTTTCAAAAATTATCACAATATTTTTTTTTAATTTGAAATGAAAATCTATGCCCATGGGACGACTTATAGATTAATTAAGGGAATTTCTCTCTCTCTCTCTCTTTCTCTCTCTCTCTCTCTCTATCTATCTATCTGTTCTCAACATAGTTTTCCATTGATGGCTGGGAGTGCAGCATGTTATTTTGATTGATAAAGGGTCATTCAGTCCGGCAGTCTTTTGTCTGTAAACTAGTATTACTATTTTCTATTCAGACAAGTCTGAAGTTCTTTCTTCTTTTTTGTGGAATATCATAGGAATGATGTTCACCCTGATAGGTGCGAGTTTAGTTGGCTGTAGGATGGATGTCAGTTATTTGAATTTATGCCGACACATTACCATCCCCAATTTTTGGTAATGCCTGCACTTCTTCCTCCAATGACTCCAAGACTTCTTCCATCAGGAGCTGGCGCTGGTGCAGGAGATGGTGCTGGAGCAGGAGCTGGTGAAGGAGCTGGTGCCGGAGTTGGCGCCGGGGTTGGTGCAGGCGTTGGAGCTGGCGTTGGTGTGGGTGTGGGCGTTGGCCATGGTCCCGGATAGTAGGGTGGATAATAATATGGTGGTAGTGGTGGTGGTATCAAAACTGGTGGATGATGTCCCCCACCGCTGCCAGGTGGACCAATTGGTCCTGGGAATCCTGGAGGACCTGGAAATCCTGGTCGTCCAGGATGACCTTCTTCACCTGGCGCACCAGGCGCGCCATCTTTACCAGGCGCACCTGGTAGACCAGGTCGCCCGGTATCACCCTTATCACCTTTCTTGCCTGGTAAACCCGGGCGACCGGGTATACCAGGGGGACCGGGAGGTCCAGGCGGACCAGGTGGACAACTGCAATGACCATGTGGTGGGTAGTAATGGGGAACATGGATCACTTGTTCCGGCGGTGCTGGCCTATCAATGTGCAAGACACGGGTGAGAAAATACTGCAACTGATCCTCGGGGTCATCGTCAATGGGATCCTCGTTGGTATCTGGCTCTTGGACGTCTTCGTAGTCTTTTTCGGCCGTTTTGGTTAGGCCAAGGCTAAAACCTGTTGGAAAAATAAGTTATCATTCCGAAAGGGGAAAAGTTGGTAAATTTTCTTTACTTACATAGCACTAAGAGAGCTATAGTCCACTTCATGTTGCTAACAGAACTGCTGGAGTTTTGAATTCTAAGTGGCTTTTTATACCTCGAAAAAAAGTTCAGAACTTTTGTTCTACACTTGTGTTCTTAATCCAGAAAATATTGAATTAAAAACCGTTAAAATTGCCCCCCAGAATCTGACTGCAGTTGTTTAAAAAACTTCTAAAGAATTTTCAGATCCAAATTTTAAAGTTTACTTTTGCAAAAAACAAATCACAATAGCATTAGAACATTGGCCATCACCTCTCTTTGCTGGATATTAACATAAGAATAAGAACCAGCAGCAGAGCTATGTGCAAAATTCTTTTGTTGTTCCCTATATCTAGGTGAGTTGGCCAATTCTTTTTATTGTTGCTTTTTTTCTTAAGTTTTTCATAATTAATAGGAGTTCTGGTTATAAGGTTCGATGGCAAACTATATTGTAATGTCTTTATCTCAATTGGAGCTGAAACAAATTTGGGCAAAAATACGACAAAACCTAGTTTCGACTACTTAAAATTTTCGCAGAGGCTTGTAGTTGTGATTTACGGTTGAGAACTAGATTGATCTGACACATAAAATTAGAGGTCAGATGAACTCAAATGGAAGCAATTGGATAAATAAATCTCAGAAAATCATTAGGAGAAGTCATGTACCCTTTGGTTGAAAACAGCTTCCATTCTCGACCTCTTGTGCGGGAGGTATCAGAAGGAGTGGTCCGATATTGCCCATCTTAACACCAGACCTTGGGATGTGCGAAATTTTAAGATAATCGGACTCTTAAGACAGTTTTTCTTGGACAAGAAATAACCTTGGATTTTTTTAAAAATATTTTTCTTAGACAGCAAATAAGCGTGGATTTTTTTAAAAATATTTTTTCTTGGACCAAAAATAAGCGTGGATTAAAAAAACGCCTTTTTTCTTGGACCACAAATAAGCGTGGATTTTTTAAAAATATTTTTTCTTGGATCAGAAATAAGCGGGTTTTTTCTAAAAAATATTTTTCTTGGACCAGAAATAAGCGTGGATTTTTTTAAAATATATTTTTTCTTGGACCACTAATAAACGTGCATTTTTTAAAAATATTTTTTCTTGTACCACAAATAAGGGTGATTTTTTTAAAAATATTTTTTCTTGGACCACAAATAAGCGTGGATTTTTTAAAAAATATTTTTTCTTGGACCACAAGTAAGCGTGGATTTTTTAAAAAATATTTTTTCTTGGACCACAAATAAGCGTGGATTTTTTAAAAATATTTTTTCTTGGACCACAAATAAGCGTGGATTTTTTAAAAAATATTTTTTCTTGGGCCACAAAAAAGCGTGGATTTTTTAAAAATATTTTTTCCAGGACCAGAAATAAGAGTGGACTTTTTAAAAATATTTTTTCTTGGACCATAAATAAGCGTGGATTTTTTAAAAATATTTTTTTTGGACCATAAATAAGCGTGGATTTTTTAAAAATATTTTTTCTTGGACCAGAAATAACCTTGGATTTTTTTAAAAATATTTTTCTTGGACCGCAATTTAGCGTGGATTTAATAAAAATATTTTTTCTTGGATCAAAAATAAACGTGAATTTTTAAAAATATTTTTTATTGGGCCAGAAATAACCTTGGATTTTTTAAAAATATTTTTTCTTGGACCACAAATAGGCGTGGATTTTGTAAAAATATTTTTTTTTGGACCACAAATAAGCGTGGTTTTTCTAAATATATTTTTTTTGGACCACAAATAAGCGTGGATTTTTTAGAAATATTTTTTCTTGGACCACAAATAAGCGTGGATTTTTTAGAAATATTTTTTCTTGGACCATAAATAAGCGTGGAATTTTTAAAAATATTTTTCTTGGACCACAAATAAGCGTGGATTTTTTAAAAATATTTTTTCTTGGACCAAAAATAAGCGTGGATTTTTTAAAAATATTTTTTCTTGGACCACAAATAAGCGTGGATTTTTTAAAAATATTTTTTCTTGGACCACAAATAAGCGAGGATTTTTTAAAAATATTTTTTTTTAGACCACAAATAAGTGTGGATTTTTTAGAGATATTTTTTCTTGGACCACAAATAAGCGTAGATTTTTTAAAAATATTTTTTCTTGGACCACAAATAAGCGTGGATTTTTTAAAAATATTTTTTCTTGAACCACAAATAAGCGTGGTTTTTTTATAAATATTTTTTCTTGGACCACAAATAAGCGTGGATTTTTTAAAAATATTTTTTCTTGGACCACAAATAAGCGAGAATTTTTTAAAAATATTTTTTTTTAGACCACAAATAAGTGTGGATTTTTTAGAGATATTTTTTCTTGGACCCAAATAAGCGTAGATTTTTTAAAAATATTTTTTCTTGGACCACAAATAAGCGTGGATTTTTTAAAAATATTTTTTCTTGAACCACAAATAAGCGTGGTTTTTTTAGAAATATTTTTTCTTGGACCACAAATAAGCGTGGATTTTTTAAAAATATTTTTTCTTGGACCACAAATAAGCGTGGATTTTTTAAAAATATTTTTTCTTGGACCACAAATAAGCGTGGATTTTTTAAAAATATTTTTTCTTGGACCACAAATAAGCGTGGATTTTTTAAAAATATTTTTTCTTGGACCATAAATAAGCGTGGATTTTTGTTAAAATATTTTTTCTTGGACCACAAGTAAGTGTGGATTTTTTTTAAATATTTTTTTTCTGGGACCACAAGTAAGCGTGGATTTTTTTAAAATATTTTTTTTCTGGGACCACAAGTAAGCGTGGATTTTTACAAATATTTTTTCTTGGACCAAAAATAAACGTGGATTTTTAAAAATATATTTTTTCTTGGACCACAAATAAGCGTGGATTTTTTTAAAAATATTTTTTCTTGGACCACATATAAGCGTGGATTTTTTAAAAATATTTTTTCTTGGATCAAAAATAAACGTCGATTTTTAAAAAAATATTTTTTCTTGGACCACAAATAAGCGTGGATTTTTAAAAAATATTTTTTTTTTGGGATTTTTTAAAAATATTTTTTCTTGGACCACAAATAAACGTGTTTTTTTTAAATATTTTTTCTTGGACCACAAAAAAGCGTGGATTTTTTAAAAATATTTTTTTTTGAACCACAAATAAGCTTGGATTTTTTAAAAATATTTTTTCTTAGACCACAAATAAGCGTGGATTTTTTAAAAATATTTTTTCTTGGACCCCAAACAAGCGTGAATTTTGTAAAAATATTTTTTCTTAGACCACAAAAAGCGTGGAATTTTTAAAAAAATATTTTTTTTAGACCACAAATAAGTGTGGATTTTTAAAAATATATTTTTCTGGGACCACAAATAAGCGTGGATTTTTAAAAATATTTTTTCTTAGACCACAAATAAGTGTGCATTTTTTAAAAAATATTTTTTCTTGGACCACAAGTTAGCGTGGATTTTTTAAAAATATTTTTTCTTGGACCACAAATAAGCGTGGATTTTTTAAAAATACTTTTTCTTGGACCACAAGTTAGCGGGGATTTTTTAAAAATATTTTTTCTTGGACCACAAATAAGCGTGGATTTTTTAAAAATATTTTTTCTTGGACCACAAGTTAGCGGGGATTTTTTAAAAATATTTTTTCTTGGAACACAAATAAGCGTGGATTGTTCAAAAATATTTTTTCTTGTACAACAGATAAGCGTGGTTTTTTAAAAAATATTTTTTCATGGACCACAAATAAGCGTGGATTTATTAAAAATATATTTTCTAGGACCACAAATAAACGTGGATTTTTTAAAAAATATTTTTTCTTGCACCACAAATAGGCGTGGTCCATAAAAATAAAAATAAGCGTCGATTTTTTTAAAATATTTTTTTCTTGGACAACAAATAAGCGTGAATTTTTTAAAAATATTATTTCTTGGACCACAAATAAGCATTGATTTTTTAAAAATATTTTTCTTGGACCACAAATAAGCGTGGATTTTTTAAAAAATATTTTTTCTTGGACCACAAATAAGCGTGGATTTTTTAAAAATATTTTTTCTTGGACCACAAATAAGCAGGGATTCTTCAATTTTCTTTTTTCAAAAATCCCTATTAGTTAATTATATCTATCTTAGGGCATTTATGAAAGACAAGGCCTCTAATTAGTGCCGGATCCAGTTAATGACGCATTTCTTTTAACGCATTTTTTCAAAATATTTTCGATCAGTTGTTTTGTGCGCTATTCAATTGTGCGTTTTGAGCTGGCTTAACATTTAACAATGGCC